CTGGGGTTCGATTCTCTTTTGGGCTGGTTGTTCATTCTTTCACTCAGTCGGACCAGGACACTCAGCTACTGCTCCTGTGTGTCCATCTCCTCTCTCTCTCTCTCTCTCTCTCTCTCTCTCTCTCTCTCTCTCTCACCATCTCTGCACGTGCCCCCAGCCCGAGTGTCACACTCTCCCATCTCGTCTACAAATCATCATAAACCATCCATAGAGTATAGGCCGGCAATATCATAGCCCACGTTTGTGTGGTTGAGCGGGAAGTTTCCCTGTTTGTGCGGTTAAGCAGGAAGTGCTCACACACCCGTCATGCATATATGTGTGTGTGTGTATGTTTGTGTGTGTGTGGACTAGCCCTGTCTGTAGCCTAGTTTTTTTTTTGGGTCAGGGCATGTTTGTAGTATACCATTCCCGACGTGATATAGAGAGAGAGAATGTTGAAGCCGATGTGCCACAGAGAGAGAATGTTGAAGCCAATGTGCCAGAAAAAGAGAACGTTAAAGCTTGGAGCAGTGCAGAAAATCACTCTTTCTGCATCTCCGCATGGAACACATCCAGATTCAGGCACTTAATCGAATCCTCTTCGCCAATGAGACCTCTCTCTCTCTCTCTCTCTCTCTCTCTCTCTCTCTCTCTCTCTCTCTCTCTCTCTCTCTCTCTCTTCACCCGCACGCACGCATTGACAAGCGCCGGGAGAGATAGAGAGAAGAGGAAGGGCCGCACGCACGCATTACCAAGCGCCGGGAGAGACAGAGAGAAGAGGGAGGGCACGCGCAAAAGAGAGAGAGAGAGAGAGAGAGAGAGAGAGAGAGAGAGAGAGAGAGAGAGCGTAAAGGAGGGGGGCGAGGCCCCACTCGCGAAGACCACTCGGTCGAGCGCCTGGATGTGAGTCATGCAGAGATGCAGATATAGTGACTTTCTGCACCCCTCCACAAACGCTCGCAGATTCGGGCGCTAGATCTAATCCTTGCTCCGCCCAGCCCCTAACCCCCCCGAGAGAGAGAGAGAGAGAGAGAGAGAGAGAGAGAGAGAGAGAGAGAGAGAGAGAGAGACGGATGCCCGGACCTGTCAACGCGCGCGTGGAGACAGAGAGATGCGCGTGCGTGAGATACAGAGACAGGACTACAAACTTTGTCAGGGCGTAATCAACCTACAATTCTTTCTGACTGAGTCTCGACGTGATCAAGGTCAGGTGCATGCAGCCAAGTGTGTAGTCTGAATTTTCTTAGAAGTCACCGCACGTGTAGTATACCATTCCCAATCTAGTCAATATGTGTCTGTTTTGTAATGAGGCCATACACAACACCAAACACACACACAAAAAAAAAAAAAAAAAAAAAAAAGCACTGTGCCACGCTATTTGGTCGGATTTCCACCTACTCGTCAGAAGGTTGAACCTCGACAGTCTGCCCAGGATGCATTTGAGTTATGGATAAGGACTGCCTATATGTGTGTGTGTGTGTGTGTGTGTGTGTGTGTGTGTGTGAGAGAGAGAGAGAGAGAGGGGCCAAGGCCCTGGGGAAACACGCTCGTGACTCTCTCTCTCTCTCTCTCTCTCTCTCTCTCTCTCTCTCTCTCTCTCACACACACACACACACACACACACACACACACGCACGCACGCACGCACTCTCTCTTTTTTTTCTGAATTGAGCACAGCACAGCGGTACTGAGTACTACAGACAGGTATGTAATGTATGCGATCAAGCTCAAGGAGCAATCAACGGGCACCCCTCGCCAAAGGGGTAATCAAGAGGCACTGCTCTCCCCCTTAAGAGATAAAAATTCAGACGGAATGGCGGTGCGAGATAAACGCGACCTATCAAACGGGGGCGCACGCGTGCGTGCGTGTGCGTGCGTGCGTGAGAGCGTGTGTGTGCGTGGTTGCGTGGTCGCGTGCGCGTGTGTGTGTGTGTGTGTGGGGGTGTGTGTGTGTGTGTGAGAGAGAGAGAGAGAGAGAAACGGCGCAGGACAGCGCCGCACCACCATCTCAGGTCGTGGCTCGTTAGAAGCGCCGTCTACAGGAGTGATCTCTCTCTCTCTCTCTCTCTCTCTCTCTCTCTCTCTCTCTCTCTCTCTCTCTCTGTGTGTGTGTGTGTGTGTGTGTGTGTGTGTGAACCCGTATGACATATTCAGACTGCCCACTTCGTCGCATGTGTGTCACCTCCATCGAAAAGGGTTGCAGTGTCTGACTATAACTAACCTTTCTGTTAACAGTGGGGACCTCTCTCTCTGTTAACAGTGGGGACCTCTCTCTCTCTCTCTCTCTCTCTCTCTCTCTCTCAAACACACACACACAGTGTCTGACTATAACAAACCTTTCTGATAACAGTGGGGCCCTCTCTCTCTCTCTCTCTCTCAAACACACACACACAGTGTCTGACTATAAC